GGTGCTGCCGTGGAGGAGGGACCAGGGGAGCCTTGGGGCAGGTGGGAAGGAGGAGGGAGTGTGCACCCCATCATCCAGGGGCAGTAGGCCTGGTGGCACAGGAACTGGGCCCTTGTCTGGAGTCAGGAAGGGGTGGTGGGAGTGGACAGCCTGGAGGCCTGGGCCAAGGAGTGTGAGGGGACGTCCTGTATCCTTCTTGGTCTCTGCTTTGGGCCTGTGTTCCTCCTCCTGTCCCCTGGAAGGGGACGGCCCTGTCTCACAGGAAGGCTGGGTCCACGCTGGTGCCAAAGCCCCAGTTGGACCCCTGCCCCCCGTAGGGTCGGGGCAGGAGCCAGGGCCCCCGGGTCCTAGATCCAGGTCAGGGGAGGGGTGGTCGTGAGCGCCCTGTGCAGGGGCCGAGGGGCCGAGCTGGGAGGCGGCAGGGGCTCCTCTGGGAGGGCGTCCTCTGATGCACACGCCTCTCCAGGACCCCCAGGGACTGACCCTCCCTCAGTGCTCTCTGCCTCGACTCAGGGAAGCCTGAGAGTCTCTGGAAAAGTCATCCGAGCTGCTGGTGAGCTGACGGTGCCCAGTGGTCACGGCCAGTCGGCTGGCTGAGTCTCCTCCCGCCCCAAACGCCATCTTCCCGGTGGGCCTCCTGGAGGCGGTGAAGTCATTGTTTCCTGCGGCCCCGCCTGCGTGGGCAGCCCCTGCCTGGCCTGTGGGAGGGTGATTCCCCTCTGCCCTGTGACAACCAGGCCACCCCCGTGGGCGCCGCCTCCCCACACGGCCCGAGGTCCAGCTCCTTAGCCAGCATCTGAGGCTCGTGAACCCACCTCAGCCCAAGCCCGAGGCGCTCCCACGGGTCCCGGTGGGGACAGAGCCCAGACTGCGGTGGGAACAGCCAGCTCTGGCGGGAACTCGGGTCTGGCCGGGCGCGTCAGGAATAAGGCACATCTGGAAAAGCGTTTGTCCGGAACGTTGCTCTAACAGGGCCCCGAGGTGCCCTCAAGCCTGAGTGGCCTCAAGCCCCGCCCTGGGGTGAGGGGCAGTCCCCCTGATTTAGCCTGGCTCAGGCCCGGGGGCTCTGGAGGCTGGGCCTGTGCGCGGTCCATGGGAGGGACATGGAGCTGCCGACTCAGACCCTGCGGGAGGAGGAGCCGGGGTGAGGCCGGGCCCTGCTCCGAGCCCAGCTCCCAGGCTAGCAGGTCTGCAGGGTGGACTCTGGCCTCTCCCACTTCTCTGTGTCCACTCTGAGCCCCTGCTTCCTCCCATCCACCCCTACCGGACGGCCATTATTCAGGCAAGTTGAGGTGGTCCCTTCACTCACCCCTCACCCATCCTGGTGCCCCTGGGGCCTGGACCCCCAGCCGTGTACTTGTTCCTGGGGTTCCCTCTGGTAACCAGGCCCATCGGGGCCCTTCCGACAGGCAGGCAGAGAGCAGACACGGGCTCTGGGAACCAGGGGTCCTGAGTTCCAGTCCCAGCTCTGCCATTCGGGCAAGTCACTCGGCATCTGAGCCTCCCAGGACTGCAGACGGCCCTCAGCTCGATGCTGCTTCCCTCCCTCCCCCCCTTGTTGGCCCAGATGTGTGGCAAGAAGGTGGAGGAGGGGTTTGGGGCCTTCCTGGGTCTGGGGCTCCAGTAGGAGACCTTCCTCTTTTCCCATGGACATAGGTCATGGCCACAGAGGCCCCTCTGCATTGTGGGAGATGAGGTGGGCTTTATGTTGGAGAGGCGTGTGTTTTAATGGCACTTTCTGAGCCCACAGGAATGAGTTTCATGCTGGCCCTTAGGGCGGAAAGCATGCTGGCCCGGGGAGGGGGAGGAGAGGGAACATGGGGTGGCTGGGGCATTGCCCTGAGGGCCTCTGTTTATCACCCCGAGATTGGTGGGTACCTAACTGGCCCAGACAAAAGTGCTTTGCCTACCTACTCCGGGACCCTGGGTCCCCGCCTCCTGCCCTGCTCCAGAAGGACACAGGCCTCTGCCAAGGTGCCCTCCACAGCCACACGCTCTGTCACTCAGGTGCCCACACGGAGCCTGCAGGCTCACAGGCTAGGACACAAGCCTTGGGAGGATGGCGCTGGGCTGTGTGGTCCGGAGCCGCCTCCCAGTGCCAGGACAGCGGCAGGCATGTGGCATGCACCCAGTAAAGGTTTGGTGGGTAAATGAGTAAGTCCCAGGCGACTCTCACCTCGTGCACGGTGGCACCTCCTGTGTCCTCAGCTGCCCGGATCCTGGCCTGGCCCGTGGGCCCTGTCACAGAAGCCGGGACAGGCACAGGCCCCGAGGCGCCGAGTCCTGTCTCTGCTGTGCGCCTCCGCACTCCAGTCGGGGTCAAGTGGCCCCCGCGGGCCTGGTGCCAGCTCTCCATGCCACCTTCACGCCCTCCTGGCTGGGACCCTGTACCTGCAGTGTCAGAACTCACCCCTGCACCCTCGCAGGGCAGCGACGGGTGTGGCCCTGCCGGGACCTGGAAGCAGGAGGGAAGAGGAGGAGGGTGTGTGTCTTAGAGGACATTGAGGGGAGAGGTTCCCGCTCCAGACCTCCCTGGCTGGGGCGCCCAGCCACGCCTCCGGAGCCTGGTCTGAGGGGAAGCAGGGCCAGCCCCTGGAGCCCGGGTGTGGGGGATCTCAGGCCTGTGGACGGAGCCCTGGACCCGGGGCTGCGAAGAGCCGAGCCAGTGCTGCCCGGAGTGACCGATGTGGAGGAGGTTCTGGAAGTGGCCCCAGTAGGCCGGTGCTCTCTCCTCTCTCTCCTCTCTCTTCTCTTCTCTCTCTCTCTCTCTCTCTTTCTCTCTCTCTCTCTCTCTCTCTCTCTCTCTCTCTCTCTCTCTCTCATAGTTAATAGGGGTACAGGTTACCTCTGGCCTCAGCTGCTGGGTCTCTCTGAGCAGACAGGACCCGCCGGCCACCACGCTGACTTCGCCTTGTGCCCACTCCGTCCTGTGCTTGCAGGCACTTGGTGTCCTGGGGTAGACGCTCCCCCTCCCCCCTCCCCCCTCCCCCAGCAGGCTTCCTCCCAGCAAACACCAGCCTGACCCCTGGTGGCTCATTGCTGGGGCCGGGAAGGAGGGTGGCCAGGGGAGGGGCCTGCTGTCATCTCTGCAGATGGCCCCTGGACAGGCGGCACCAGACCCACACGCTCACCCCTGCCCCGCCCCCGGTACCTGCAGAACTTGGGAAGTCCTTCCCCTCACTGGGCCTCAGTTTCCCACCTATAAAATGGGGACAAGCCACCACTCACACACAGGGTGGGGTGGGGCAGGCAGGAGGCGGTAGAGGCCAGGGTACTGGCTCTCTCCTGGGCCAGGCCTCAGGGCTCAGGCTCGGCCTGGCCCTCCTCCACACACTAAGGTGCAGCAGCTCAGTGCGTTGTCTGTTTCCTGCTCCCACCTCCCGCTCCTGGCACATCTTCCCCTTTTCGCTCTGGTCTCTGGGCCCAGTCGGGTCTCCCCTCTTTCAGCCGGTCTCACCCCTGGGCACGCTCTTCATCTCTCCTCTTTCTCCCTGGCCCGCATCACTGTCTCTGCCTGGGGATCTCTCTCTTTCATTTCCATTCTTGTGATGACTCTACTTCCCTCTTAGTGTGTCTTCCTCTCTCTGCAGGGCTGTGTCCGCTCCCCTTCCCTCCGCGTCTGTCTGTCCTCCTTCCTCACTCTCCCCTCCTCCCCTTTCCCTCCCGGCTTCCAGTCTTGCCTCTGTCTCTGGTGGTTCTGTCCCTGAATCACTGCTGAGAATTGCCCCAGAAGCTTGAAGCCTCCCGGAGTGGGGGCACCCAGCCCCCTCACCCTGATCGGGCCTGCCCTTGGCCCCAGAGCGGGGCTGGTCCGCAGACCAGCTCTCAGACTTCTGATGCCTTGGTGCACCCTTGGCTGAGACCTGGCGGTGTGCCTGGGGCTCTGGGACATCCCTGAGGTGACATCCAGCGGCCAGCCCGGGACTTGGGTGCAGGAGGCCCAGGCTGCCCCTCCGGATGCCTGGACGCATGGATTCCAGACTAACGCCAGTCTGGGGTGGGATGGGGATGCCAGACCAGCAGAGTCACGGTGCCCGCCTCCAGGGAGGGCAATGTCCACCCTCCAGGTCCAGCCTGCTCAACGCCCCCCTGCTTCTGGAGTGCCTGGCTCTGCCCTTGGGCACCCCCTAAGCTTTGCACACAGGGCGGGGACACCTGGATTTCTGCAGCCCCCTGAGTGGGGCCCACTTGGAGGAATTTCCCAAAGCCTATTAGCAGTGGCAGCCTCCTGCCTGCCTCCTCGGCTGGGCAGGGCGGAGGGCGGAGGGAGAGAGGCAGGGAGGGGTGAGAGGAGGAAGGGAAAAAAGTTGGCAGGCCAACAGCAGAGCTGTGTCTGCATCCATCGCCGAGAGGAGGCCCGTGCGGTGTGGGGCGGGCCAGGAGCAGGAGAGGCCTTCCTCCCTTTGTGCTCCCCCTCCTCTCCTCCCCCGGGGGCCCTATAAATAGGCCCAGCCCGGGCTGTGGCTCAGCCCTCAGAGGGAGTCAGGCACCAGGCAGCGGTCTCCAGCCAAGCCCCCGCCAGCATGGCCAGCGAGTTCAAGAAGAAGATCTTCTGGAGGGCAGTGGTGGCCGAGTTCCTGGCCATGACCCTCTTCATCGTCATCAGCATCGGCTCTGCCCTGGGCTTCAACTTCCCGGTGAAGAACAACCAGACGTCAGGTGCGGCCCAGGACAATGTGAAGGTGTCCCTGGCCTTCGGGCTGAGCATTGCCACGATGGCCCAGAGCGTGGGCCACATCAGCGGCGCCCACCTCAACCCAGCGGTCACCCTGGGGCTGCTGCTCAGCTGCCAGATCAGCGTCCTCCGGGCCGTCCTGTACATCATCGCCCAGTGCGTGGGGGCCATCGTCGCCACCGCCATCCTCTCAGGCATCACCTCTTCCCTGCCCGGCAACTCCCTGGGCAGCAATGAGGTGAGTAGGGTGGGCTTTCGAGTGGTGCTGACACAGCCTCGGTCTCATCCTCCACCCATTGTGCAGATGGGGACACTGAGGAGCAGAGAGGACAAGAGGTGGCCGGAGATCACGCAGAGTTGGGGCTGGAACTCAGCTCCGCACGCAGCCCAGAGCCGGCTTCCTGCCGGGCACTGGGAAGCTGAGGCCCTGAGAATAACAGTCTTGCCAACGTCCCCTGAGGTCATCTATTGTGGGGACCGAGCCCTGGAGGCAGCTAGTGTTGGGCCAGCAGCTCCTCACCACTCGCCTGTAGGTTCTGGCCCCTCAGCCCTGCCTGTGCAGCCAGCTCCCTGCTCCTGCAGCCTGGACGCTGGGAAACAGCCCCTGTCCCCAGCCCCCCAAAACCAGGGGCCCTGCAGCCAGGTCTGCAGGGGTGTGGGCAGTGGGGCCCCTCCTGGGGGACCCACTGATCTCCAGGGAGCCCCACAGGTCCCCAGACAGACTGCCTTCAGGAAACCCCCTCCCGCTCCTCTGGCCCCAGGAATGGGAGAGGCTGGGGGCCGAGAAGGCTTTCTGGGCTGTTGGCAGGTGGTTTTCCTGGATCGCAGGGCGGGACAGGCAGGGACCTCTTGTCTCGGGTCTGGGCTTCACTCTGTGGCTGGGCACTGGGAGGTGTGGCCTGGGTGTCTGTGTGTGTGGACGGGTGATACACGTGGATGGCGGCATGGGGCTGGAGTGAGCGTAAGCCGCACGCTCCCGTGGGTGTCTGATTCTGCAAGCGTGTGTGTGTGTGTGTGGGTGTGGGTGTGTGTGTGTGAGCATGTTAGGGGGCTGTGTGAGCCTGGGTGGGGTGAGGGGGTCCCCGCCTGTGCCTACTGCTCCTGGCTTGAGTGGGGCGTGGGCTAGGGGCACTAATGATAAGCAGATGTTGGCAACTGGGTGGCAGCTGCTGAAAAGAATTCCTCGCGGGCGCTTAGCACAGCTAATTGGCCTTTGGCCGCCGCCGCCCGCTGTCGCAGACCTGGGCTTTTCCAGACCCCGAGCCAAGTGCATACTCAGGCCCCGCTTGGGCCACAGCAGGGGGGCTTTGGCCCGAGAGGCTGACTGAGGCTTGAAAGATGTTGAGGAGCACCTGGGGGGGGGGTGCTCTCCCGGGCGGGGAGAGGCCAAGGAGCAGAGAGGAATTAGATCTCGTGCGGAGAGAGGAGGCTGGGGGGCCCGGGGCAGGGCGGGCGGGTGTGGGGACGGTGAGGGAGATGGCACTGGGTGGTGACTGGGACTGTCCTCGGGCTTCCCCGCCAATGTTCAGCCCCGGCTGGCGCGGTAGGATCTGTGCAGAGGGCAGCGCACAGCCCTGCCCTGGGGATTAGCGTTTGTGTCACAGTGACACCTCGCCCAGCCCTCGGGAGAGCCAGCGCTGCTCAGCCTAAGGTTAAAGATTAGCCGTGCAGCTGGAGTTTAGACTTTAGTCAGGAAGGCACGGCCGGGAGGGTGTAAGGGCCACGGCCCTCCGGCCTCAGCCTCTCCAGTGGGGGCAGAGCCAGGCCACCTCAGGGAGTGCCCTTCTGGGTAGGGGGGTTCACACTGGAGCTCAGCCGGCATGATGGGCTGGGGGAGTGGTCCCCTGAGGGGAGGAGTCATGTCCCCAGGTTTTCCCGGCCCCTCCTGACCCTCCCTCTCCAGGGACAGGCTCTCCAGGGACAGGCAGGACAGGCCTCTGCTGGGGAGCTTGGTCCCTCCGTCACAGTGTGCCAGGCAGATGCCATCCGACCTGGCCACACCCTGCTCCAGTGTCTCGTCCCCTTTCTGGACTCCACTTTCCAGAGTCACCCTAATACCTGGGCTGGGCAGGCTGTAGGCAGCTGTAGAAGGAGGAAGGGGCGGCCTCACTAGGGGGCCTGCCCTGGGCTGGGGGGCAGTCCTATCTGCTGCTAACTTGCTGCGTTTCCTTGGAGCCCAGGGCCCTGAGGCTGCACGAGGGCACCTAGGTGTCTGATAGCTCTTGCCACACCCGCACTTCCCACAAGCTCGCTGTGGGCTGGCGGTTATCACCCTGCCCAGGGCTGGGGGAGGCCCCAGGGGCCGAGCTGGACATGCGTGTGCTGAGCATTGTGGTGGGGCCCAGGCACTGCCCCGTCCACCCACCAAGGGGGCCTGTCAGACACTGGACCTGGGATCCGACGGGACCGGGTGTGTGTGTGGTGGTGGTGGGGGGGGGGCTCAAGACCTCAAGAAGGAACAGAGACCAGTTTACAAAAGCTGGTAGTTTTACTCTTTCCTCCCAGGCCCTGCGGGGGGTGGGGGGGGATCCCCCCTGGGCCCTGGGCCCCACCCAAACCCAAGCCTGGGTGGAGCCAGTCATTGGCATGGAGATTTCCAAGGAAAATAGGGGAAAAAGTGGCAGGAAGTGGTTGGGGTTAGTCAGGGGATGTCCCCCGGGGACATGGCCCAGAGAACTTTCTCCCCACTGAGTCAGGGCTCAGGGTACGCCCTGGAGGGACCATGGGCCTGTCCAGCCTGCAGGACTCCCGGCCCCTCTCGGCTGGTTCTAAGGGTCAAACTCCAGTTTTGGCCAAAGTGAGAGGCTCGGGGGCGGGGGGGGGGGGTGCCCCGCCTGCTCCTGCCAGAGCTCAGCCACTGTTACCCGGTGTGACTCCACGCAAAGGCCTTGCCTCTTGCCCGATGGCCCTGGGCCCCGTCTGAGAAATGGGCACATAGCAGGGCGTGGCTGGGCTCTGGATGTAGAAGGTGCTGTCCTGAGCACTCCGGCTCCTTTGACTCTCCCCTCGGCTGTCTCACCTCGGCCGCCTGCACTCAGGGCCAGGGCTGCTGCAGGCTGGTGCGGGCTGAGTCAGCTGCCTCCCTGCCCCGGGGAAGCCCACGGTCTGGGCGAGATAAGCCCCGTGCACAGCTGCCCGTGATATGAGCCAGGAGGCAGGTGTGATAAGAGGTGTCAGGGTGGCCAGGGAACTTCTGACCTACGGGGGAGGGGAGGGCCAGGCAGGCTTCAGGGAGGAGGTGCCATATGAGCCTCAATGAGGAGACCCCGCTAGGGAAGGGCTTTCAGCATAGGCGAGGGGTCAGGGAGAGGTCATGGCCTGGGAGTTGTGGGTGGTGGCCGGACTGGGGTCATGGCAGGAGGGTGGGCTCAGGAGGATGGTGAGGGCTCAGGATCAGGCCAGGGTCTGACTGGGCCCTAGAGGGGCCGGGATTCCTGGCCATCCCAGAGCCTGTGATGTCAGCCCCTTAGGGGGCTCAGGCAGAGCACAAACTCCCTTCTTTGGGGGTCTCTCTTAGCCCTGCCGATTCAGGGCCTGACTGCCTTTGCCTGCTGCATCCAAAGCCGGACCTCAGCCCTAAACCTGCCTCTTCTCCGGTTTCCCGGGCCTCAGTTTCCCCAACCACAGAGTGAGAGGCCCCCATGCCACCACCTCTTCCAGAGTTGGGGACCACTCCTGCCTCCTCCAGAGCTGGCGGTGGGCTGGGGAAAGGGAGGCCAGAATTTCCCAAGGACCCTGTCCGCCAGGCCTGCGCAGGGGCTGGGCGGGGCCGGCTGGCTGGTGGTGCCACAGCTGGGCCCTGTAATTACTGTTTCCAGCCCGGCCCCGATGAGGGGGAGGCAGAGAGCAGGCCTGCGGTGGAGACTTCCCTCCCCACGGAGCTCTGGGGCTGCTTACCCCTCCGAGCCTCTCAGCGGCCCCGCTGGCCCCTGGTTGCCTGCCCGACTCCTGCCCGGGCCAGGCTCGCGGGGAAACCCGCATCGGAAGGGGTGCGGCTCTGAGATGGCGCCTCGGTCCGAGGGGACGCACCTTGCCCTGCCTCCCCAGGCCACAGCCCCCCTCTCCCACCTCGCAGGCCTCCCCAACCTGAGCTCCGACCCAGACAGTGCGCCCCGCTTTTTCTAGGGCCCCACCCAGCGGGTATCCTTCAGCATCCGACCAGGGGCTCTCCCCAGGCAGCGCACATGTGCCCCTGCCACCCCTGGCATAGGAAGCCCCGTTTCTTACAGGCAGAGCCTCCCGGGGGGCCTGGTCCCCATCCTCTGGAAGAGCCAGTGGCCGGGCTGAGCCCACACACCGGTGGGTGTGGCAGGGAAATGTCACGGCCAGGGTCCCCTCGGCGGGGCCTCTCCCAGGGCCCAGAGGGGCTCCTCGCCCACAGTGCTGCCCAGTGGGGTGAGCACACCCGAGGCTCAACCCACCTCAGAAGATGGTGGAAGAGGCCGGAAATGAGCAGTTCCTTCGCGTGCCTGAAACCCACCTCCAGGAAGCTGTCCGCTCAGTACGGAGGATTTTGTTTCAATTGGAAGAGGCTGTCTCCCAGCCAGTGAGCGCCTGTCATCAGGGCCCTGCAAGGAGGCTCTGCCCGGCAGCCGGCTGTAGGGGCACCTGGCCTGCGGGCACAGCAGGGCGGCAGAGGTCCTGTGACGGGCTCTGCACCGGAGGTGGCTCTGGGTCTCGGAGGCGGGGGTCCACGTCGGGAAGGGAGGGGTCCTGGGGCATCCGAGCCAAGGCCCCCGTTTTCCTAAGTGGACACGCTTAGCTGCACCAACACACACACTCACATACACACACACGCACACCCCCCCACACACGCACACACTCACATACACACCCCCCCACACACACGCACACACTCACACACATACACACAGACACTCACCCCGCCACACACATGCACACCCCGACACGCACACACTCACACACATGCGCACACACTCACACCCCCCACATGCACACACACGTACACACACACATACGCACACACTCACACATATACACGCACTCACACACACGCACACACTCACACACATGCACACACACACATGCACACACACACATACACACACACACTCTCAATGGTACATGGCACAGGGGGCACACACACGTGGGTGTGGGGCAATTCTCAAGTCTGGGTGGCTCCACTCAGGCCTTGGGACCCAGAGGGTGGGGCGGGGGCTCCTCAATGGAGCCTCTTCCTCTCCCGCTGCAGGGCAGGGGCTGCCGGGAGGGAGGGAGGGAGGGAGGGAGGCAGGAGGAAGCCATTGCTTTGTGTATTGTTTCTTGTCAGGAAGATGGAATGGCTTCTGCGAGTAAATAAAGGGCCTTCTGAGACCTGCTCTCCCTCACTCGAGGGGCCTCCTTCCCGTCTCCTCCCCCCTTCCAGCCAGCAGGGGCGCCTTTGTGTGGGTGTGCGACACACAGGGACACACATGGCACCCCCCCCAGCCATGCCCCCCAGCATGGCCGTCCAGGGCCACGTGCTACACGGAGCCCGCCTCAGTGAGCCGGGACCGGGCGGTGGGGGTGCTCGGAGTTGGTGGCACCCACCGGCCAATGCACAGCAGGTGTGTCTGAATGTTCCGCGTGGGCTGGAAAAGTGTATATTCTCAAATTTGGGGGTGCAGGGTTGACATATTCTCCTTAAATCAAGCACATGCACACACGGATGCCCATGGAGGGGTACACGGGGCCCTGTGAGGCCCCCCGTGTGAGTGCTGTGCCTTGGGGGCAGCCTCGCTGTCTCCCATCCCCTGCTCTTCGAGGGAAGATGCTCAGAGCCTCAGCAGGCCTGGCTCGGAGCCCCCAGGTGTGGGGTGCCAGCGTCCAGGCCAAGTAGGGGGCCCGGGCTTCGGAAGTTACCTTGGTCAGCTTGCCCACGGGCAGGAGAGAGGGTTTGAGGCTTATTGCCTGGAGAGGTCAGCCCTGTGTCACTCTGGTGCCAGGACACACTGGCAGCTAAAGAACCATCTCCTGCCGGCTCCTCAGTCCAAACTGGGAGCAGCCCGGTCCCTTGGCCTGGCCTGTGGCAGCCAGTACCTTGGCCTGTGGCGTGTGGGAGGCACAGACCCGGGGCAAGGATCCTGGCTGTGCTGCCTCCTCCCTGAACCTCAGCTTCCCCACCCACCGTCACACAGGGCCCTTGCACTGGCCGCCCGCAAGGCCCACGGAAGCTGACAACTGGCCAGTGGTCCCCCAGCTGGAAAGCAAATAAACCTTCCTTGGGGGCCAGAGAGCTTCCCGGATCCGCTGCCTCCGGGAGGGGGCAGTTCTAGATAATTAGCATCCTAACCACTTACGTAAACCACACAGTGAGTGTCCCCTCCAAGGGCTGGGCAGGGGCTGGGAAACCTCCCGCCCTGCCCTCACTGAGCTCTCAGCAGGGGGGTGGGGGGTGAGCACCCCCATAGGAGGCAGGAGATTCCGGCAGGCCGGGAGGAGTAAACACAGGAGCTTATCCCGGCCCGGGACCTGTGAAAGCTTCTTGGAGTTGGGACGCGGGTCGGGGGGTGAGGGGGGTTCTGAATGTGCGGTGGGCTTGGTATGCACACTCGCATCTTTCGGGGCTTCGCACGGGAGGCGTGGGTTATTCTGTTATTTACACTCACATGCACAAACCGTTACTTTCCTTGGCGGCCTTCATCAGTGAACGATCAGCCCTGGGCTGGGCGAAAGGGCCTGGGATGTGCAAACATGTATTTTTCTCCATAACAAGTGACCACAACTGGGATTGGCTGTATTTTTAATTGTTTCCAATTTAATGGGTTGTAAATAGTAACATATGTTTAGAACTTTTACCCGCTCTTTCCTGGACATCAAGTTCCAACAGACCTTTCACTACCCTTTCCAGTTCTGAATCATCAAGTTTTTCCGGATGTCAGTCACACCAGGGCAATGGCAGTCCAAGGAGAGGTGGTCAGTAGACAGTGAAGCAATCAGGGGAGGCTTCCTGGTGGTGGTGGTGGTAATTGGTTTTGGGAGAGGAAGATCATCAACCCATGTGGCTCTGGCAGTCAGGTTCTGAGGGGTCTGGGCAGTCAGGAAGGGACATCCTGGAGATCCCAGGGCAGGAGGCCCATTCCTGTGGACTCAGAGGGCAGGGCATGGCACCAGTCCCTGCTCACTTCGCATGAAAAGTGGTGCCTCTGGGGAGAGCAGGGGCTGGGATGCTCAGACCTGGTGAAGAACCAGGGGAGGAGATGAGCTCATCCAGGCCACATCTGTGAGAGCAGCGGGTGTGGATGGGGGAATATGAGGCAGGAGCCACTTAGAGCAAGGGCTCCATTAATCAGCGTGGAAGGGCTGGTTTCAGGCCTCCCGCCAGCTAGCAATTAGGCCGACCCTGGAGAGCGGAGGAGAGGCAGGAGGGGGCGGAGCCTGAGCGTCCTGGGCGCTCAGACACCGAGGGTAGTGGCAGGTGTGAGTGTGATGGGCATCGGTACAAGCGGCCCTGCCTCACCAGCCTGGCATCCATGGAGCCTGTTTCAGCTCCAGGCAGGCCTGCCTCCTGTCTCCACACCCCTGCACAGCAGGGCCCTTCCCTCCTGCCTGTCCCAGGCCTGGGACAAGAGGAAAAAGAACCAGAGCAAAGCCACAACTCTCCTGATCCAAATGTCCCGGGACAGCCCCCCTGGCCTTGGATCTAGGTTATAGATGGGGAAACTGAGGACCAGAGAGGCCAGGCCATGGTCACGGCGTCAGCGAGTCGGGGAGCACAGAGGGCTGGCTGAGCCGGGCTGCAGCGAGGGGCAGGGATGTGAGTCACTTTCCCTGTGACCCAGGGCTGCAGACAAAGGCGGGAAGAGAATTGTTCTCGTGAGACGCCCTCACTGTGAGGCTGAGAAAACTTCTGGAGGGAGGAGAAGCGCCCCCCACCTAGGATTCTGCAAAGTGCCCGACTACCCTCAGGACGGAACTTCAAGTTTAGGCTTCGTTGGACACACCAGCCCTGCCTGGGAGAAGGCAGCCTATGCGGCCACATCCGGGCATCTTTGTGGGTGGGCCTGTGCAGATGTGGCCCAGCCCCTCTGTGTGGGCACCTGGTCCTGAGACCTGCCCCCTGGGGGTAGGACAGGGACTCCTGGGGAAGGGTCTCCCTGGTGCAGCCGCAGGGGGCGGGCTCCGGTGACCTCACAGCAGCTCCCATTCCCTTCCTTTTCCATGAGTCATGTTACTAAAAGCGGCCCAGGGGCAAGTGACAGCTAGATGTGGTGGTGGTGGTGGTGGTGGGGGCGCCTATGTGGCCAGAGAGAGGGAGGGGGCTGGACCAGGAGGGAGAGGGAGGGGCAGGCAGGGAAGGCATGGCCGAGAAGTGGGAGAGTCTCTGGATCAGGGGAGACAGACAGAGGTGGGGAAGGAGACAGGCACGAAGGAGAGAGGCACAGAGGGAGCTGGGCCGGCTGGGGAGGACCCTCCCAGCTTTGGGAGTTTTAGATGCAGCCAGTGGTGGGCTCTCAGGGCATGGAGGGTCTGGCCCATGGTGCCCGGGCCTGAGGCCCCGAGACACAGTCCCCACCTGCCCTGCTCACGGAACCTCGCTGTCCCTGTCCCCTACAGCTGGGCCTCCGGCGTGAACGCGGGCCAGGGCCTGGGCATCGAAATCATCGCCACCCTGCAGCTGGTGCTGTGCGTGCTGGCCACCACCGACCGGAGGCGCCGTGACCTGGGGGGCTCAGCCCCCCTTGCCATAGGCCTCTCTGTGGCCTTGGGACACCTGCTGGCGGTGAGTGGGGGTCTTCCCTGTGGGGTGGGGTGGAGAGGGCAGGGCCAGGCAGGGGCTGTCGGGGTGCCCTGTCATGGGCAGTGGAAGGGACCCAGACTGGGCTCTTTCTGTGGCGCTATCAGTTCTTTGGGCCTTGGCGGGGTGGAGGTGGGGGACGGGGAAGGAGGGAGGATGGTTGGGAGGCAGGTTCTGCCCAGGAGAGGGAAGGGCAGGGGCCTCCTGACCATCTTTCTGGTGCTGATTGCCACCTGTCTGTCTTTTCTCTGTCATTTTCTTCCTCTCCCCTGGTCTGTTTCTCTGTCTTCCCGCCCTCTGCCCACGTCCTTCCCTTCACAGATCGACTACACGGGCTGCAGCATTAACCCTGCCCGGTCCTTCGGCTCGTCGGTGATCAGTAACAACTTCAAGGACCACTGGGTAAGGGCTGAGGGCTGCCCGTGGAGGTGGGGGGGAGGCTTTGGTGCCTGCGGAAGTCCGACCCCACCCTGTGGCATCTTCTCCCAGCGCAGAGGCTCTGGGAGGAGCCAGGGCCGAGGGGACCAGGACACAGAGCTGAGATGGAGAGCCCGTGGGGCCAGGCCTGGAACAGCAAGGGCTGGGGTCCCCTCCCAGCTCAGCCAGCAGCACGGCCGAGAGTCAGGCCTGAGTCCTGGCTCTGCCACTTTCCATCTGAGCATGACCAGGGCAGGCTGCTGGCTTCTCCAAGCCTACTTCCTGAGCTGTGAAGCTGGGGTGCGGCGGCACCCCCTACCCCCAAGGGGGGACAACCGGCTTCACCACCTGCCAGCTGAGCTCAGCATGGGGTCGGCGCTCCATGGATTTAGCTGTTCTTACTGTTGGTGTGCTTTAAAAAAATATGTTTTTATTGATTTTTAGAGAGAGAAGGGAGAGGGAGAGAGAGATAGAAACATTGATGAGAGAGAAACATTGATTGGCTGCCTCCTGCATGCCCCCTACTGGGGATGGAGCTCATAACCCAGGTATGTGCCCTGACCGGGAATCGATCCATGACTTCCTGGTCCATACGTCAATGCTCAACCACCGAGCCACACCGGCCAGGCACGTTGGTGTTTCTGTTCCAGGCCAGCCTTTACCCAACTAGCCTCTGTGACCCTCTGCAGCTGGGCGGGGCATGGCCACCCTCAGAAAGGGGCTGAGCTGGGCCACATGGGGATGCCTACTACCACTGTCCGTGCTCGGGCCAGATGTGGGGGGCACTGGAATCAGGATGTTGGGGTGCAGCACTGTCACAGGTGGGAGAGAACCCCTCAGTGGGTGGTGGGACGGGGAGCTCAGGGACAGCATCCCAGGCGCGGGGCCTGTCCGTAGCGCCCGAAGGCTGGCCCGGTGCCCTCTGAGCATGCCCGCTCTGCTCCTAGGTGTTCTGGGTGGGGCCGTTCATTGGCGCCGCGCTCGCTGTGCTCATCTACGACTTCATCCTGGCCCCGCGCAGCAGCGACCTCACAGACCGCATGAAGGTGTGCACCAGCGGCCAGGTGGAGGAGTACGACCTGGATGGCGAAGACATCCACTCCAGGGTGGAGATGAAGCCCAAGTAGAGGGCCTGGCCCCGCGCACTCACATGGGGACCGGGGCAGGGGCGGGCGGAGGGAGGGGCGGGTGAAACCCATATTGTAGACACTCTGACGAGCTGGCCAAAGTTTCTTGCCAAAGACCCGCGGGACTTGCGTGGCCAAGCCTGATTTGGGCTGTTTCTAGCACTTTCTTCCTCTTTCTCTCTTTCCTGGCCTTGGGGCTTCCTGGAGACCAAGACTCCCCACTCTCCACTCCCTTGAAGTCACAGAGGAGGTGAAAGAGAGGGACCCACCCTCAGAGTGTGACAGGAGGTGTGCCAGAAAGCCCCTCACCCCAAGACAGCTCACCAGCTCACCTGCCGCACGTGCCTGGGCCCCGCCGTCATCGTTTTTTGTGCCTTTGGGTGTGGCCTTCTCCTGTCACTTGCACTTTGCCCCCAAGGGTGTTTTGCAGGGAAAGAGACCCCAGGAGGGGCGGGTTAGGAGCAAGCGGTGACCAGCTTTGCCCGTGCACTTTGCCTTGCTTCCAGGGACAGAGAGAGCTCCGTGGCCTGAGGTCCCTCTCTGGGGTTCTGTGAGTGTAGACACGCTGTGGGCTCCGGAAGATGCTGTCTGCATCAGCGTCTTCCACTCGCGCTGGGTCCTTCCCCCAGCACAGATGCAGCAAGGACGCATGCGTGTTTCCAAGCAGCGCGCAGCAGCCAGTTCAGCTGCTGCAACCAGACAGGGCCTGCTGCTGCCCTGTGAAGGGCATTTAGAGGTCAAGGAGGAACACCCACGTTTCCTCGCTGAGTTTTAGTTGGTCTTGTCCACCTATCACTGCACCATCTTGACCATTATTTGGTTCTCCGCTTCCTCCTGCCAGAGGAGGCACAGGTCACTGTTACACAAGGGTGTGTTTCCGAAAGGACAGTTTGGGGACAGATGTGGCTCAGCCCACGGCAGCAGATACCCTTGCTGATCGTGAGGGGCGAGGAGAGGCTTGCCCCTGGTGCTGAGCTCCTGGCTGGAGGCATTCAGGGCGCTGGGTGGCCTGCACAGGCTCCCGTGTGACCCAGGCCCCAGCCTTCCCTCCTCACTTAGCTGGAGGGAGAGTCGGCCTTGACCTGATGAAGGACCTACGGCTGCAGCCCAAGTACGTACAGTTCAGAGCACAGGGTCTGTTTCAGGGGCAGCCATCTACACAGTCCATTCAATTCCACCAGGGCCAGAGCAGGTCCCCCAGGTGCCCGTAGCCGCGATGGTGACAAAACCGAGACCCCATACCCAGGTGTCTAGAAGCAGGAGGCCTTCACAGTCCCCGAGCCCATCTGCACGCTCTTTCCCATCCCCTAGCAGGGACCTCCAGCCCACCTTCCTGATAAGGAAACTGAGCCCAAGGTCCCACAGCTAGGTGATGATTTGCCCAGGCCTATCAGCCAAGGCCATGTCTCTGGCTACTACCTGGCCCATGAGACTGGCCCCTCTCACCCCCAGCTTCTCAGTTTCGGCCTGGGCAGGGGCCAGGGGGCTGAGGGTTGTGCTGGAGGGGAGAAGGGGGCAGACCCACCCCCCTGCCTGTCCTTGCTGCTGTTCACCAGGCCCTGCTTCTGCCTGCTCTGCATATGTCTCTTGGGAATTGGAATTTCATTGTATGTTAAGAAAATAAAGGAAAATGACTTCTAATGTCATCCAGGCTTCCTGCGGTTTTCTTTCATCACCGAGTTTCCACAAAACCCCTGGTCTCAGGGAGTGGACACAACCCCAGCCTGAGGGACACAGGGCCCTGCCCCTGATAGGGCCCGTTTTTTATTCTAGCACATGAAGGGGTGGGGAGCAGCAGGACTGAAGTGTGACAGGCCCATTAGCCTCTCTGCCCTCCTCCTAGCAGGACCCAGGGAGCACCAGGGACTGCCCAGGTGTCCCTCCTCATTCCTTCACTCATATTTCTGACCCTACCCGCCCCTGTGCTAGGTACTGGGGCCCAAGGCTCGCTCAGTCCCCTGGGGGAGGCAGACCCACGTAGCCGAGCTGAGCGGGGTGAGCAGCAGGCACAGGCAATGACCTGCAGAAGCTCAGAGGGAGACAGCTTAGGCCCAGAGCTCTCTGGGCACCTCCATCCCAAATCACGAGCCACATCCACTGGGAATGGGCATTTTCCCTGGAGGGTCTGTGGCTTTGGTCAGAAAAGAGAGGTCAGAGTGGACTGGCCTCTGCCTGGAGGGAACCAGCAGCTGGGAAAGGACCCCTCTGTCTGGCCCTTTTCCTGTCCCAGTGCAGCCCAAGGCCAGCGTGGGCTGAAAAAGGCCTGTGTCCCACCCCAGGCCTCTTGAACTGACAAAATCCCTCCCCACTCATGGCTCCCCCTGCAGTGCAGGGGTCATGGCAGGATGGCAGGTATGCGTGTCCTCATTCAACATGGGGCTGTGTGGGCTCAAAGAGGGACACATGGACGTCTGTGGTTGGCTTAAAGCAGCCATTTGCCACTTGGCCCCAAGGGCCATGGCGCCTTTGGGGGAATTGGTAGATGCCTTCTCAGTCCCCACTATGTGCCCCGGCTACCCCCACCTCAACCCCTGCTCTTCCTGGACCAGCCCTGGCCACTCCAGGGCAGAACCTTTCTTATTGATGGCTTAGTTATAACTTCTAGAATCCTAGTGCTATGAGGGCACTTACTATTTGTAAGAAACTTCCCTGGGACCTCATATACAGTCTTCCTAATCTTTATAACATCCCTGCAAGGTAGAGATGGCCACCCCCATGTACAGAGGATGCTGAGGCCCCTGAGGATGAAATGCTTTGCTCAAGGTCTCACAAAAGGCTGCTGCCAGAATTGGGATTTGAACCTGCCCTCTCTGGCTTCAACAATGGGGCTCTTTCTACTCTGTGGTGCTCACCTGTTTTATCATGACCTCTATCAGGGCCAACAGGGCAGCCAGGCTTCCTCTGCCTGAAAGGTGTGAAGAGGGAAGAGGAAGGGAAAAGACCACCTGGTTGGAGGGGATTCTAGCACCAGGTTCATTCTGGGGGCAGCTGGACACAGAGTCTGCTTGAGACACACTGGCACCACCTGGCCCCAGGCTGCTCCTCTGGCACTGGCACCATCACAGCCTCCCCAGTGCCCTCTATTCCTGACTGATCCTGTATCTGGAAGGAAAATTTCTGCCAAACCTGCTCATCCAGAGGTTGTCCTTTCCCACCAGAGTACATGGGAAAGGGAGGGGCAATGCTGCACACTGAGGAATAATAGTGCACTATGAAGGGGCCTCAGAAACCACGCAGGCCTGGGAGCAAGAGCTTTGTGGCTAGGCGATCCCAGACCCCCTGTCATCTTCCAGCCTGTGGGTTCAGTGCTTCAGGTACCCCAGCTCTCAAGGATCATGCCTGACTCCACTCTGCTCATGTTCTGTCCAGCCCAGCACAGAGGAGCGGTTTTGGGGGAATAACTAGAACTGGCATGGGGCTTCTGGAGCAACCAGAGCCCTTGTCAGTTTTGTTCATCAAACTTTAATGGAGAGAGTAAATTTCCTGGAAGATTCCATGACTCAACCTTTGTCCCCCAGCTGCCAAGCATTTGGGACACTACACACATGAGGTGCTTTGGTGGTGGTGGGGGGGTACCTAGCACCCCATCCACTGGGTCTCTGCTGAGACCAGACAGCAGGTTCCTTCCCCATTGGACTCCCCTTTGGTCCCAAGATGTGCACACGGAGGTGGCTCAGCTGGCCCAGAAGGCCATGCCCTCTGCACTTGGCTCAGCAGGAAGCAGTATGTCATCCAGCAGTTACTCAATCCTAGAATATTTGTCTCTCCATTAAACTCACAAGAGCAAAACGTTGCACTTCCACAATTGCCCCACCTGCTCCGAGGCCTCCGAGGAACCTGGCCCAGATCGCATGATTTTCCAAAGCCCTTTAGAGGGAACACCAGCCAGAGCCCTGTGATCACTCACTTTCAGATCAACCCGAAGTTGCTTTTCAGATGCACATATACATGACCTCAAGCCTTGGGTCAGTCAGTCCTGGGTTTCTAAGCATCCAGGAATCCATATTTCCCTTCCTCCTCCAGGATCAAGGGGATTCCTCCCTCCAGGCCCTGGAGAGGTGCTGAGGGGTCCATGGGAGAAGAATGGACCTTTGAAGCTACCTGCACTGGGGTCAGTCAACTGGACAGACATAGACGCCATCCAGCCTCAGTGGTCCCGATCCCAGCCTCTTCATTTATCTCAAAAGCTATGTGGGCTCAAAGAGGGACCCGTGGACATCTGCGGATGGCTCAACGCAGCCATTTGCCACTTGGTCCCCGGGGCCACACCGCCTTTGGGGGGATTGGTAGATGCCGGGAGGGTTCTCTTCCTTTCGGGGTTCCAGGCTGGTCCTCAGTATCCTTGGAGCTAAAGCCGGGAGCTGGTCTGGAAAAGCACTGGAGGGCCTAGTGCCAGGGCCCCCGCCCTTGGCGTGGCCGGCCACGTGCAGGCCCATTAGGGTTTTTCCATCACTCCCGTAGCTCACACCTTCACTGGTCAGGAGCCTCTCAAGAAGGAGGACAGTGATTAATGTTTTATGGAGGAGCTGCTGGGCATAACACCTTGTTTGCTTTAGGTTTAGAATACAATGAGGGCGATGAATGGAATTTGCTGAGAGATGAGGGCCAGCGCAGGGCCACTGTTGGGGGCTGCGGACCCACAGGCAGTGATGTTCCCTGTCCTGACAGCTGAAAAGGGGGCGATTCTGGATGTGGGAAGGCAGGCGAGGCCCGTGCTTGCAGGACCTTCCTCCCAGCTCTCAAGAGCTGGTTCCCACCAGCGCCGCCGGCCCTGGGGTGCAGAGGCCACCGGTGAAGGGCACCCAGAAATGAATGCGCTCGTTCCGCCAGGCGACTCTACCTCATTCCAACAAAATCCCATTCTCTGCACCCAGGGTTTTGCTTATTTGTCTGTTCTTTCCAGTGTATTGATGGGGAACGAGCTGAGGGCTTAACTGACCTTCAGCCCTACGGGTCGGCGCGGCCTCACCGGGTCCTTAAACATTAAATACTTCCATCTGGTGGGAGCTCCTCAAGTGTCCCCCCTGCGGTAGTCTCTCTGGCCACTCTGGTTCCTCTCTAGCCTCTGGTCACCTCTGGGCCTCTCCACGGCCCAGTACTTGAGGGGTCAACCCTGTCATCAGCAGGGGGCCCTGGGGACCCTGGCCAGCACTGTCCTGTGGGAGAGTTCTGGTGGACTGGGGCCATTGACACGCCTGGCTCTTCTGTATTTTGCGTATCACCTCTGGGTGGGCACCAAAGCTTCCAATTCCTGTACAGTGGGGCCTTGACTTACGAGTGTCCCGACTAACGAGTTTTTTGAGATACCAGCTGTCTCTCCGCTGATTTTTTGCATTGAGTTGATAGAGTAATTTGAGTTAACGAGCTCCTTAACGAGCTTGGTCTCGGAACGAATTAAACTCGTAAGTCAAGGCCCCACTGTATATACGAGAGGCGTCCATCCGGTTAGATCCAAGTTAAAAAGTGTGAAAAAGTGTGAAGCTCGTTTTGTGTCTGCATCACATCACTGGTTTTGGAGGCAGCATCACCCAGAGTCCCGGGCACAGGCCCTTTAATTTCAACAGGCCCCTGGCGCGTGCCCCGTGCAAGCACCTGGGACTCTGAAATAAGTACACGTGACTCTCTGATCTGACACCTGTGCTTCCACCCAGGCCTGGGTCTCAGCAGCGAAGACCGGGACACGCAGAGGTGCCTGGTCCTCCGCACACCTGTTCCTCTTTGTCTGCTGGATGCTCTCCTCTCTGCTTCTCTGCAGACTCGGGGAGGTGTCTGCTCCACGCCCAGGATTCCTGGGCCCCACGGTGAGAATGGCAGTTAAACTGTGTGAAGTTCCAGGTGTCGCTGATGCCCCTGGATCGTGACTGTGGCTCCTTCCATCTGAGACGAACTCCAAGAATTTCCACGGCTGGCGGTGACTTCCCGGGCTGGGAGGAGCAGTGGCATCTGCCTCCAGGAATGTGGGGCCTAGAGACACCAAGCCCAGGAATGCCTCCACGGGGCCCACACCTTCAGTTCCAGAAAATTCTGAGGGCTCCCGGTTCCCTGCCCATTTCTCTCTTTCTCCCTAAGTGTAAAGCCATCCCAGGCCGCCCTCAGGTAGTTTTTCTTGAGTGAAAATCCTAGAGAGTTGGATCTGAAATGGAGCTTAGCAGCCTGGGGCTTTTAGCAACAGGTGTGATTCATGTGCCTGGCCACGGCCTGAGTGCATGGGCTCAGGTAAGGCACCTGGGCTTGGGTGAGTCACCTGCCCTCTGTGGTCCTCTCAGAGCAAGAGCCCAGCTCCGGTGATGAGGTAAGTTGGAAAACCACGTCACTCTCTGGGAGACTAACCATAGTAAAGGCCCTGACAAGTCCTGCAGTAAAACCCCTCACTGTATAAACCAGGGCTCACCACACTTCTTTGTCCACAGAACTCTTTCGGAAGTGACTCGTACTGCTGTGTCAGAGCACTGCTCTCTACAGAACATGGCCTGTAAACGGTGGCCTGGGCGTGGTCTCGGGGGGCCCCTGAGCTCTCAGATTCCCGGTTTAAAACCCAGGTGGCTTGCTTTCTCTCCTGAGGGCAGTTGGAGGAAGAAGGCCTAAGAGAAGTTCTGAGTTCAGAGTGAGGGTGCAGCGGGTGTGGGGGCAAGGGAGGCAGCTAGTG